CCTTCGTCCATCCCTCCCCCCCCGTCGCTGCGGCCGCCGGCGGCCACCTCGCCCTCGGGGCTTCTCCGCCGGCTGCTGGGCTGGAGCCTCCGGGCTGGTCGGGCAGCCCGGGTGTCCCCGCTTGTCTCGCTAGCAGCCGGCGCGTTGTGAAAGGGAAGGGTCGAAATACGTCTTTTCCCGTTAAAATGGCGAAGAGCCTGTTGCCGAAAAGGTGGGGTTAAACCCTTGGAAAACTGCGCTTATGGCTTCTTCACGTGTGTGTTTTATTACGCCGGCTGCTTTCTGGGTTAGCTATACGAAGAAACGTATAAATCTCTTTCGCTTTGCTTTATATGCAAAGTGAAGTTTGAGGGTTGGGGTTTTGGTAGTTTTTTTTTTTTCATGCTGGCTCTATAAAACCCTTTTGTGGTTGGTGCTTATCTTTTTTAGAAAAAAAAAAAAAACCCATCCTCTTAATAATAAAGAGTAAAACTTCACTTATGCTGAATATGGGAGTGCTGCATCATTTAATTCATCTTCTGTTGCATGAAAGTCTTGATTCATAGTGTCTAGTTCCAGGATGGAAGCCTTGGCAGGGACTTTTCTGTCGTTCTCCTCATTTCATTGCAGCACTGTGAAGTCTTTTACCTTTGTAGTTTACTTAGTAAACTCGTGTTTCCACTTTCATGGTCAGAAGTTGGTTTTCTTCCTCATCCCCCTCCAGTTTTGTAAGTCCAGTGCTGCTCTCTTAAAATGCTCATTCCCAGTAGTCATCATAGTTAATCAGTTTTTCTGGTTTTACTTAGTAAATACTTTTTCCTTCAAAGAGACTTGTGTTTAAGATTTGATGTGTGCTACTTTAATTATTACACTGTTCAACAAGTATGTAATATTTGCTTTGTTACAGGTCTTGGATACAAAAGACGTACAGGTATATAAAGTGACTGTAAACGGACAGGATGCAAAATTTGGTTTTGGAGAAAAGCACAGTTTCAAGGGAACTCCTCTGGAAATCGCCCTTCCTTTCGAACTAAAAAGGTACACACTTCTACCTGTTCCTCTAGGTGGTCTCCAAAACGCACTGTCTGCCTGTAGTGTCACTGTGTGAAGCTTGCAAAGGGACTTAGAAATTAGGGCACTGCATTTATTTGGTGTGATCATGTAGATGAATTTAATATTTGGCTTTCATTAGACAGCCAAAACTTTGGGAGTCTTTATACTTGTCCCCAGGTCTTATATTGTGTACAAGAGGACTTGGTAAAGTAAGTAGCGAAATGATCTGTAATGTGTCACAATTTTTCCAGTGCTTCTTATCAGTAATGTTCTTTCTGCTTCAACTACTTGAATTTTGTCATGCTAGAGTGTGGCACATTTGGAGTTACAGACCCTGTTTGCCTTTCTTTTATACAAGGGTTGATCCTGCATTTCTATAGAACTGCAGGTTACCACTATGATTAGATAGAAATGTGTTTTCAAATAATAGAAGTTTTATTGTATTGACTATGCTAAGCCCAAGTCCCTAAAACCTGGAACTTGAGTTTTGACAGCATTGTGTAGAGTGAACCAACCCTAATCTACCCCTTAAGTTGCATGAATTAAGAAATTGTTGCCAAATTAAAATACGCTTTTTGGCAGTTGGCTTTGTATGTTGTAAGTTTATGGTAACCCACATGCCAAAGCTGAAAGCTGTGGTTGTATAAGGAGGTTCGCTTGTTCGAATAAAACTGTATACTAAGTTGCTTCTTACTCTTTTGTTTTCAAAACTGGTTACTACCTCTGCAAACTCATGTCTGGTTTGCGATTTTTGTTGTTGTTCTCTGAATTAGTGCAATTTTGAAACACATAATGTGGAAGAGAAAGGAATGTTATACAATAGCTGTCCCTTCTGGGGAAAAGTTTATGATCTGATATGAAACTAAACAAATTAAATACTTGAACAAACAGGCCATAGGAGAAGCATAGACCTGTTTCTTTTGTTTGACTTTCAGCTTTTTTTATTATTGCTGGATTTCCTTGTAAGAAAAAAAAAAAAGCTACAAAGAGGGAGTTATGAGTTGTGATCATAAGAATTTATAATGTTGTGTGAGATATAGTCCCCCATGTAAATATCAATAAAACAGTGATAGGAAAGGGTAGGAGTTACAGTTGAAAGTCTGACTGTTCAGTAAGCAATGTGCCTTATGGTAATACAAATTATTTTCCTTTTCTTGTCAAATACGTACTTTGGAATACTGGTTATAAACCAGATATGCATACCTGGTCAGCTTATCTAGTGTCCAAATCCTCTAATTAGCTGAAGTTTGTTCTGATTTATGGTTGAGTTGTTAATTCTGGAGAGTTGCATATATAACCTGGAACTTTGTGATAACAGAGGTGAGTACTTCTGTGTGCTTTTGGTGTTGCTGATGGTTATGATTTGCTTTTTTACAAGTAAGAGTATGAATGTGTCAGGTTTGCATGTGTTCTCTTGTTAGCAAGCTGGTACCTGTCTTACACGGAACTGTTAGTTTTTACTTTACCCCAGTTCTGAAACTGAATAAAATTTGAACATTTTTAAAGTTTCTTGATAACCATACTGTTAATAGAGTTTTGCAGTAATTACTGTTTTCAGTATTTTTTTTCTGCTTAAGGATCATATTTACAGAATACAACATCAGTTGCAAAATCTAATTTTTTTTATTTACAGAATACACAAATCCTATGCTATAAAGGCATGTATCTTCTTATATAAGCTTTGTACGCTTTTTTTGTTTGCTTATTGCAGTGGACTTTTTACACTTATGTGTACAATGTTAGATAGTTGTGGCAAAACTGTGTATGTAGCTGGTCCAAATAGTTTAAAGAAAAAGTCCATGTTCTCCTTGAAGAGAGAACTGGAAAACTTTCTGGTTAGTAAAAACAACAATAGAAGTGTCTTGGGACATTGACATTGAAATAAACCAGCTAATTTTTACTATCATAATTGAAGGGGAAAGTTGTTTTTGATGTGCTGCTTGTTCTTATTTTTAATGCTTTTGAGACAGTGCTGCAGACCTGTTTTCCAGAAATTTTTGTAGAGGAATTTCGGTAGTGATCAGAAGTTGTGTCAAGACAGTCTGACTATATTCTTTGTCACGCAGGGGACAAGAAGCAATTGTCGAAATCTCTTTTGAAAGCTCTCCAAAGTCTTCAGCTCTCCAATGGTTTACTCCAGAGCAAACTTCTGGGAAGAAACACCCATTTCTCTTCAGCCAGTGTCAGGTTGAGTGGATTAAGTTTTTTCTTTGAACTTCTTGTTTACACACCACTGTAATTCCCCCTGGTTTCCAAAGAGCTGGAGAGGAAGGCTAGTAGGGGAAAGTACATTAGTCCATAACATTGTGTGCATCAAAGGTCCTAAATGGAAACACTTAGTAAGTCAGGACATTGTTGAGATTTTTATTATACGTTTGCAATTTAATAATTCCAGAACTGCTTTACCCTCTCCAGCATTCTTGTTGAAGAACATGCAGTCCTTTGCAATCAATATATGTGGCTATTGATCTGTCTTACCTACCATTATTTCTTTTAGAAAACCCTTAACTATGAAAACTACCATAAGCTATAAGTGATAGGAGGTGATTGGTTTGTAGATAACGAATTCTCTGGAGGAGCTGTATATATTTTCAATATAATATATTAGTTCAATTTATTTCTGCATTAGAAAGATCATTGTTTTAATTTGTTTTGGGTTTTTTTTTCCCTCTCCAGGCTACCCACTGCAGAGCCATCTTTCCATGCCAAGACACACCTGCTGTGAAACTAACCTACTATGCAGAGGTAGGTGAATCTAAGTCATGTGTGCCTAACTAAAGACAACTACTGCGATGGGTGATTTTTTTTTTGTTTTGTAGTTGTTGGCATATGTCCTAAAATAAAACCAGAGAATATTGACTTTTAGCTTAATGTGAGAGCCCAAACCTGCTTATATTCCCTATGGCACTCTAGCTTTACCATTTTCTTTTATATATATCATATCTTTTTTTGCATTCACATGTCTCTTTATTTCCAAAAGACGAAAAGGAAAAAAAGGTGCTGTAGTAGGAAATAAACATGTTCTTAAATCAGTAAAAGCTGACAGTAAGGCAACACAGAGTGCTGTAAAGTAAAAATCATAGAATCATAGGATGGTTTAGGTTAGAAAGGACCTTGAAGATCATCAAGTTCCACCCTCCCTGCCATGGGCAGGGACATCTCCCACTAGACCAGGTTGCCCAAGGCCACGTCCAGCCTGGCCTTGGGCTCTAGGGCTGGGGCCTCAACAACCTCTCTGAGCAACCTGTTCTAGTGCCTTACCACCCTTAAAGTGAAAAACTTCTTCCTAATGTTTGATCTAAACCTGCCCTCTTCCAGTTTATAGCCATTCCCCCTCGTCCTGTCACTACATGCCCTAGTAAAAAGTCCTTCCGCAGCTCTCCTGTAGGCCCCCTTTAGGTACTGGAGAAATACTTGAAATGATTTTCATATATGCCTTAAGTAATATATTCTGGTACATAGTTAGGAGATCTTTGCAGCCTGGCATCAATAGTCCAATTGTTTTAAGAAAGCAAAAAGCGAGATGCACAATGTGACATTACAGTTCAGTAGTTTAAATAAAGTGCAACTTTTAACTTTTGTCAGAGGTAATACTAGTTAATTAAATATTGCTAGCCTTTAAGACAAAATTTTATGTATGCCTTACATTCTACTTGATGGAGAGGACTTAACAACAGAACAAATCTGGGCTACCCTTTTTACTATTGCTCCTCTAGTATATTGTATAATCCTTTGTGCCAACTGAATTCATCATAGTCGGGTAACCTTTCAGATATCCGTTCCTAAAGAGTTGGTGGCTCTTATGAGTGCTAATCGCGATGGAGAGATGCCTGACCCAGAGGACAGCAGTCGGAAGATATACCGTTTCAGTCAAAATGTAAGTGCTCCAGGCTAGTAAACAGATGCCTAAGGTCTTATTCCTAACTTATGCCGGTCACAGTCACTTGGTTTTGATGTCATCAATAAATCATGTGACTTATGATGGGTTTTGCCACTATAGAAATATGAGGTATTATGAATCTCCAACTCTGAACAGTCGACCAGAAGGTGCTGGTGATATTTACTGGTTGTTTTGGCAGAAAAGCCAAATTCAAGTTTTTGAAATACTTAGTATACTCAAAGCCAGCACTGTCAAAACCTTTCCTGTCTGCACTGGTTCTTGGGTAATAATGCATGGACTTGAATAACATGGGAGTGAGTTTTGGAAAACAGATCCTGCAAATTTTAAGCTTACCAAGATCTTAGTAGTGAAGAACCAATTTTTAACTTGAAGTTAGGCAAATCCTGACTATGGAGATTTTATTCTTTTTTTGTTAAAAGTGAAAACTTGGGCTTTTATGGAAAGCATTTCCAGCTAATTAAAGATTACCATTCTCAGGATGAAGTTTTATTAAGTGGTGCAGCTAGTTTAATGATTCCAGTGCCCCTAAAGTGACAGTCTCAATTTACTTTTCTGGCGTTTTTCTTCTCACAGCTTTTTTGGGTTGCAGTTTGATGTTTATGGGATCTCTTGGTGAGCCTAGTTCATTTTGCTGAACCAGCAGATAAAATTAACAGAAGTTTAGAGAAGAAATTGTTTTAGTAAGCTGATCGGGGCTGCTGACTGCATGGAGGAATGGGATTGTGTGGTTGGAGGAGAGATGGGGAACTTACTCTGAACTGCAGCAGCTGTTGGGTTGATTTGGCTGCTGCATGAAACCTGAGAGAGGCTATAGGGGAGCAGGAGAGAAAAAACTGTTACCTTATCTGGGAGCTCTTCAATATGCAATGTTCTGCCTTCTCTGTGTAGCCAAAAAAATTTGCTGCTCAGTCTAGCGCGTAAGGCTTCTATGTTGTATGTTATCCAGAGCTGTATGTTAACTAGAAATACACTGTTGATAAGTTTGGTGGACCTGTACCAGGAAAACATTTAGTCTAATTGAAATTATGCTACACTGTCTAATATAGAAAACCATTAGATTAATTTCTTAGGAAAGGCATGTGTTTCCTTAGATGAAAAAGGCAAACAAATCAAACTCTTGGATATGTATATGTGCTGAGCTTACCTAGAACTACCTTTTTTGTTCCTGCGTGGCCAGGCTGGTAAGAAGTGTGGTAGAGAGCAGCTTCTGTAAAAATTAGTTTATAACCCAGCAGCCATTGAGATTTGAAGTAATTTCAAAATTTCAGTTTAGCAAACCGGGCATCAAAATGTAGGGGTATATTGACAGTCTTTTAATAACTTGTCTATAACACAGGTCAACGGACTTAAATCCTTTAAAGACTATATTCTGTGGGTTAATATGTAAAATTAAAACACAAGTAATGATATGGGTATTCTAATAAATGATATTTAAATGGTTTGGGGATACTGGTGGAATAAAATTTTCTGAAATGTTGTCTCCAAGTAATTATGTTTTAAAGTCTTATTTAACGTTGTTTAGTCAGATCAAATAGAGCTTTTACAGTGATGGCTGAGTTATCCCCTTGTTTCCAGAGCACTGGGGCAAAGCATTTTGCTACAGATACTGTAGCTTTGAATTTTTTTTCATTAAAATAACAAATATTTAGAATTTATTTTAATTCCAAATATGGAAATTGAGTATATATATTTCGATTTTTGCCGAATCTTTTGTATCCATAAATATGCTTGTTTACTTGAATTCATAAAAGCTCTTCCTGTATCTTCCTGTGTGATACAACTGTACTTTGTCTGAGCAGTATCTCTTAACTTCTCCTTCCATAAAATTTAACGGAACTGGAATGAATATGGAAAACTGACCTTTTTTTGAACGGTAACCAAGCCAGTGGCATTTTTCTCTGCTCTTATATATGCAGATTTTTTTCAAGCAGAGATGATACTTAAAATTTTGTGGCCTCTGTGCAAAGCATCTGTGAAACAAGCACTTCTTGTAGATAAAGGAATATCATTTGGGGACAAATAACAATGCCTTTATTATAACATAAGGCCGGAAACTATGGAGAAAATGTACCCACTTCTTTATTTACATACCTTTGTTTTCCCTTGAATCAGTGGTGTTGATAGCTCACATTACAAGTAAGTTTTCTTTTTTTCTCATGTTCTCCACTAGGTTCCCATACCTTGCTACTTGGTTGCTTTAGTGGTTGGGGCTTTAGAAAGCAGGTGAGTGAATATGCACAAAGTATAAGCATTTAATAATCATAATAAATCTTCAGAGTTATCTTTCTCGGTTTCTTGGTCTTGTTTATAGTTTTAAAAGGTCTTAGAGGTTCAACGAACTTGTTTATTTGTATCAAACTGCATGTATCTTGATTCACGCTTGCATCATTATTTCCGTAGAACATACTTTTGCTGTAAGTTTAAGAAATACCATGAAGAGTTTGGAACTGATTGGAACCACTAAGGACTTTGTCTAGCTCAGGGAATAGCATCTTTTTCCTTGGGTAACAGATAAGCCTTGTCATGTACAAAAGGCAGAAAATTATAGCTTCAGCCTCATTGCTCATCTGCAGAAGGATGTGTTAATCTAGCCCATAGTAATGCTTTTATATTAGGGCTTTACAGCATTTTAAAACCTATAAATGTGTTTCCTATTTATTTTTCCCAAACAGTGGGTGCGTGTGGTTTGGTTTGGTTTGTAAAGCTTTGCTTTAGCAGTGGAGAGGATAAAGAGACAAAGACTCTCGAGTGATTTTCTTCAGCAGTATGAGTTACTCATGAGCACAGTTAAACATATGCTCTCTCTGTATTAGTTTCCCTTAGAATTATTTCTAGTTCATAGTGTCTTAGTGGCATTTTTACTTTCAACAGAAAGATTGGCCCAAGGACACTGGTGTGGGCTGAAAAGGAACTAGTGGATAAATCAGCCTATGAATTTGCTGAGGTAGGCAATTACGCAAAAAATGTTTTGGAAACTGTTTCACATAGTATTGGAAAAGGAACAGACTGTAGTTCAATGTTTTGTTCATCTGTAGCTCTCCTTTCTCTACCTTCCATCCCTAAAAATGCTGCTGTTCTATTGCAACACAAAACTACTGCTGAAAATAAATATTGATGCAGTCTTGTACTCATTTTGCTTGTGGGACATGCGGAGGTGAAAGAGAATGGAATCCATAGCTTATTACTTACAGTGTTTATAGTCAGAAGTCATGTTAGAAACTAATGTAAGTTCTTGTTCCAGGCTGAAGCTATGCTGAAAACAGCAGAAGACTTAGCAGGGCCCTATGTGTGGGGACAGTACGACTTGTTAGTCTTACCACCTTCTTTTCCTTACGGTGGTATGGAGAATCCTTGTCTTACTTTTGTAACTCCAACACTATTGGTAAGTGTAACGCTAATAAAAGCCAGCTTTTCCCTAGGCCTTGCTTATCCGTCAGGTGATGGATATCAATCCACAAATTGGATTAATCTTCCCCCTAGAAAGAACTGTAAATGTTCCTGCCTCCTTTGGAGTTCTGGATCATACATGAAACTGCATTAAGTGGTATATTTTGAGAGGTATTTTGAGGTATATATCAAGAGGTTTACTTGAACTGACAACTGCCTTTTTTTTTTTTTTCAGGCGGGTGATCGATCTCTATCAAATGTAAGTGCAAAATAGGTTCATGTCTTCAAGTAGAACACAACTTGAAATTGTATCTTAACTTCCTTTGTAATAGGTACCTGAAAACTTGGTCTCTTTCATTGGAGGAATTAAAAGTGAAGGGAGTAACTCAGGGAGTCTTACAAAGTTTTAGCTCTAAGTTAAGTCTAGAAAACTGGAGACGTATCTATTTGGTATAATCAACAGATTAAAATAACATGAGTGTCTGTATGCATTGGGGCCTGACTGAAGTTAGGGGTTTAGTAGTCTTTTCCTGTTCTGTGTATAGATATGTTTAAAAACCACAACTGAACTGATCTCCTCAAAATTGTTTGTGGGGAACTTTTTCCTCTATATGTCTGTCTATGCACTAGAACTCACATTGTGTACAGTTTTCTTTTAAAGTGAAAATCATGAGTACGATTTGAGTAAATTCTGTTTTTTCTGGAAAGTGGAGTACTCTGGATGCTATGTTATCACATATGTCTTTCTACTAGACTGATAGACTGCTAAAAAGAAAAAAAAAAAAGTCTTATCCCAAGAATACTGAAATACTTGAAATGGATACTTTTGAATTTATCATGCATCATTATCCTTCTGGGCATGACTGTTTTACTCCTGTTTGATATTTTAGAACATCCCAGCACTGCAGAAGTTGCTTAGGTGGGAAAGTAGTACTAGTCCATCACTTGGCATGGATCCACTGTTCTGAAATATGATTTCATAAACGAGTACCTGCACGTTGCTACCAGAGAAATTATTTTTGTTGATCAGTGTGGCTCTATGACTTGCAGACTGGACATTCAAAATTATTGCTGGAGAAGGTTCAGTAGGATAGTGTTAGTCCTCTAAATAAAACTTATATGGATAAGTTTGCAGAGCTGTGAATGCTAACTGGCTCTGGGAATGTAGCACAGTGAATGAGATCCCATTAGGATTTTTTTCTTTCTGTTGGGATTTGATGTTCATTTTCCAGAGGAGTCTAAATGGTAGTTCTGTAATTATTTTCTGTGTTTTAGGTTATTGCTCATGAAATCTCTCACAGCTGGACAGGAAACTTGGTAACAAACAAAACATGGGAGCATTTTTGGTAGGTGTGATGTTCAATGCAATGCAAATCATATTTGTAAAATAATCTGTAAAGAGACCAACTATATTAATTTTTGCCATCCTACCATTACTGACTTTATCAATGTATTTCCAGGCTGAATGAGGGACATACTGTGTACCTGGAACGCAGGATTGGTGGTAGGTTGTTTGGTGAGCAGTTCAGGCACTTTCAAGCCCTAGGAGGTTGGAGGGAACTGCAAAATACGGTAAATATTTTCAAAGTTATGATAACTTTATGTTTAAGCATATACCTAAATAAAATAAAGCTGATGTCATGTGTTTCCTACAAATAAGGCTTGTCTAGTCAGCTTTCCTAACACTTTCTTACTAGAGGATGAGCAACTTTGATTCCCAAGGTAATAGCTTAGTATACTCAGTTCAGATAAAGCTTTTTGAACTCTTAAGATGTTCTGTAAGGATGAACGTCTCTTCAGACTTTCTTGGTTGTTCTGGGTGGGGCTAAATTGCAATATTACCTGTTAGCATACTGGTAAGCAGCTGAAAGCTTGTCAGAATTATCTGCAAGCATGGCTGTCAGAATTTCCAGTGCCTTGTGCAAGTAACTGATTTCTTTTTTTTCTGTGTACTGTGTTATAATTAAGTGTATTCTTAATCTGTTACTGTCTAGGAGGGTTGTTTAGTTTTGTGTTTAGGAAGTGTAGTTAAACTTTAGTTTTTGGATTTCCAGCCTGTAATTTTCCTAGCCCTCTCATTTAGTTTGGTGATGCAGTTTACCTGTTTTACTATGAATATTTCCTCATTGTATTTTATTCTTTATATCACCCACTTAAATAAGTGATTTAAATAGATTTTTTAATAAAGGGGTAAATATAGATAGTTTATTAGGTGCTCGTGATTATGACAGACATGACGGTAATTAACTGCTTTGAGACAGCTAGAGGACAGGGTGATTGATCCTAACATCTTTCTCTTTGGTACACAATCAGATACTGATAAAATCAGAAAAAAATTTACTAAACTATGCTTTGTGCAGATTCAGAACTTCAGGAAAAAGAATGAGAAATAATGCTTTGGAATAAGGCCATCTTAGTTTTGGATGGACTGTACCTGTATAAATAGGGTTGGTAGTGATTTTTAGGAGTGCTAGTTTTCCTAGGTGAATATATTTTCTTGTGTCTTTGTCACAGATAAATACTCTTGGAGATAAAAATCCTGTAACTAACCTTGTCCCTAATCTGAGTGAAGTAGATCCTGATGTTGCCTATTCATCTGTTCCGTATGAGAAAGGTTTTGCTTTGCTTTTTTACCTTGAACAACTTCTTGGAGGACCAGGTAAGTGTTAGTCGGACTTTAGATGTGATTGTTTCCCATTTTAATTTCAAACACTGAAACATTATTTTTTTTAACTGTTAGATGTTTTCATTGGCTTCTTGAAGGCTTACATTCAGCAGTTTGCTTATAAAAGCATAGTAACAGAGGACTGGAAGAACTTCTTGTACTCCTACTTCAAGGATAAGGTTGGGTAATATTTAAAACTGATTGCTTGAAACCTTTTAATTATGTGAAATTATGGCATAGCTCAGGAATTATCTTCTTTAAGGACCAGTTTTTTATCTTTCTCTTCTTTATCTCAAGATCTTGGTATGATGTAGTCTGGCATCTTATGAAGCTTGATGATGCGCTTTTTTTTTTTTTTTTTTTTCCCCCTAGAAGGGAATATTTTGGTTTTAGGTAATCTGTATAACATTCTCCAGGGTAATTGGAGGGATGTTAAAAAAACAAACAAACAAAAAACGCAAAACAAAACAGAAGATTGAAACTAGTTTTTGTAGTGTATGCTTTTCTCTAAAAGTAATGTTCAAAATTGAATAAGAATTTGTGTTGCTTTGTAGGTGGATGTTCTTGATAAAGTTGACTGGAACTCATGGTTTCATGCTCCAGGAATGCCACCAGTGAAGCCTAAGTAAGCTGCATTCTTTTGTAGTTCATCTTTTTCTTCTCCAGATTGCACATGACTTTCCAAACAGTCATAGAACAGTTTGTAAACAGGGTGAAAGTCTTCCCACAAATGTTTTATTAGAAAATGTCCTAGTACTATGTAGAAATTAATATATGTGTACATAGGAGGAAGAAATGTTGCTGTTAATATTTTCAATTTTTTATTCTGTTGGAAGTTAATTTTGCTTTGGAGGTTGTCAGGAAAGATTCTTTTTTCCTGAAAGTTTGTTACAACAATACTCTTTTTTCAGCTGTATGCTATAATGTACAAGCATATATGCTCAGAAGTATTGATCATTTTAGGAGTATATGGGATCAAGGGATAGTGTCACCTATGCACAAAGTGCTTCTAACTAAAACTGGAATATATTTGATTCTAATAGGTCTTTTGTAAAGTATGTTGCAATATTCAGTTGGAGCCTATAATAAACAAATGTGGAACAATTTGAAAATAATTTCCAAACATTCTTGTAGAAATATTACAGGAGCTTTTTGTGTTTCCATAGTGTGATCCTTTATTTTTAATATTTGACAGGTATGATATGACGCTAGCAAATGCTTGTGTTGCCTTGAGCCAAAGATGGATCAAAGTGAGTAGTTAAAGAACGCTGAGGTGTCTGTATCTTGAAAAGCTAGTACTCTCTATACAAAGCGAGTCGTTCTCTTCTGAAATCTATCATTTCCTGAGAGAGTGTATTTACAGTGATAGTATGACTGCCAGGGATTTTGCATTTCATAGACTAGCCTTTCATCATAGAGTCTGTGGATTTGCTATGACTGCTGTATGTGAAGTGCAGTACATATTTTAACAAGGCACACCGCCAATGTTTTGTTAAATATACATAGTAACCAAACTGCAAATATTCTTTTTGAAACCGTGCTATTAGGGCTTGATTTAAAAACAAATGCCAAGGTATTGCTATGTTTCTGATTACATTGTATTAACAATAATTTCCCTACAAACCTACATTATACTGGAGCTAGTATGCATTTTTCATCAAAAAGCAAAATACATACATCATAATAACTAACTGATAACATACAGTTTTCTCACAATTTTAACTGTAAGACTCATGCAACTAATAGAAAATTGAGCATACCTTCCTCTTGTTAACTCTGTGGCTTTTGACTGTACTTCTATGTTATCTTTAACTTTTTTCTTCTCAATGTTACTTTTTAAAGAAAAAGTATTTGATTTCTCACTTAACTTTAATAAATTAAAGACAGTGGAGAGAAAACAAGTGAAAATTGAAGTGAAGAACACCAACCATCAGACAGTAGCTTAATTTCCTCCCTTCCCCTTGTAACATCCTGCACAAATACAAATCAGTATCTTTTTTATGTAGAGTGGCTCAATAGTAAATGTGAATGTCCAAACAAAAAATTAGACCTGATTGTACTTTGAAATACCAATTAAAAACTTAAATAACCATTCTCTTTTAGGCAAAAGAGAGTGATTTGGGCTCATTCAGCTCAGCAGACCTGAAGGAAATGTCATCTCATCAGTTGATAGAGTTCCTGGCACTGTTGCTTCTGGAGGTAAATGCATGCCTGGGGTAACTTGAATCTGGTATCACAAAAGCAGGCACAGATGCCCCAGTGTGCTTTGGAACAGAGTTGTCCATTTTCTTTCAAGTTTTGTTAAAATAATGCACTCTCACCATACATAGTTACTTAAACCTTCAGCCATGCCTCCCTGATTATGTCTGGCTCTTCAGCTAAGAAGCAACACGTAGAGCATTTTGGATTGAAAAGTAAAAACAAAAATGTAAGGTGCTTGAGTTTGTTTGTGTTTGATGTTATAGCAAGTAAGCTATAAATAAAACAGAATGAAAATACTTTGTTTTGAATGTTTCGGTAGTATGGGATGTGGGAATTTGCTTACATTTATTCCTTGCCCTTTCCCTAATACTATGAGAAGGTGAAAGAAACAAATACAAATATTTGTCTTTTGATTCCTTTGTAGCATAAATCTTTAATGAACTTTTTTTTTTTTTAAGTATGTGGCTTGAAGTGTGCCTCTGGCTTATTCTGACTATGCAATTTTCTTTTTCAGGATCCTCTTCCAGTTTCACATGTCAAACGAATGCAGGAAGTGTATGACTTCAATGCTATAAACAATTCTGAAATAAGATTCAGGTGTGTTCTAATATGGGCTCTTTTCTAATCTTAAATGCTTTCGTGAAACAGAATGTCCTGTTTCGTAAGTGGTCTGAGGCGTACTGTTGTGTACAACTGGTGCAGGGTTTTGGGTTTGTTGTTTATTGTTGTGGGGTTTTTTGTAAGTGCCTGTGGAAGCATGCTTACCAGTGTGGTATTCTGTTACTTGTGAATTGGGTAAATATAGTCTAGTAGAAGAACTGGAAGTGAGCAGTGAATTAGCTGTGCTTTATTTTCATCTCATGCTAGCAAAGGAACCTGAAGACCTGATAACTTTTCTTTTGGGAGTGATATTGGGTAATACAAGTGCTCACTATCACAATACTTTTATTTCATCAAAATAGTAAATATCAAAGGAAGTTTCTAAACAAGTAGGAAGTGCTTCTGGCTAAATGGCTTGATTCTTGTGCCATCCTAATTTCTTCTGGTTTGTATTTACACATTGTATTTACACATGTCACTTGTTAAAAAAAGCTATTGTTGAGGATGTAAGTAATCTTTCTAAATATCTTGAAGTATTGCATATTTTGCTAGTTATGTGCTTGGATACATTTGCAATAGTGACGGTTAATATGCCTTAACTAATATACAATATAGTTCCTACTTCTTGTAAAAAGATCAATTTCTTCTTCTTTTTTTTAAAACAAAACAAGCACATGTCAGTTGCTGGTGATGTTTTATTTGGGTTGGGTTTGGTTTGGTTTTTTAATCGCTTTGTCAAATGTGACAAGTGCTATATATATAATTCAGCTCTAATTCTGAGTGATGTACCTGGACACTACTGTAATATAAAAGAAATACATAGCTGCAGAAAATAATCAGATCATATTGGAGAAACTTTGAAAAAAAAAAAATTTCTTATTTTATAGAAAAGTCCACTTCTGTAACGTGCTAGTCAGACACTACATATTTTATGTTGAACTTAGCTAGAATCTCATTCCTTTGATGACATAGCACTGCCCAGAGTGTTCATGGGAACAGAATCATAGGCTAACTAACCACCGCAAATGAAAATAAAAGTGTAAATTTTTATTTATTTTTTTTTTTTTTTTTTTTTTTTCCCCCCCCAGATGGCTGCGCCTCTGCATCAAGTCCAAGTGGGAAGAAGCTATTCCTCTGGCTCTAAAAATGGCAACGGATCAGGGCAGGATGAAGTTTACGCGACCTCTGTTCAGGTAAAAGTAACCTCCAAATTGTAGGAGCTCATGCCGTTGGCATTTTTAGTACAGTGGAATGTGTAATACTTGACATTGTACATGTATTTGTTACGTTTTGAAGTGATATAATAAGGAGTTTTCTGTATACTGCGAACAAGCTTATCTTCAGAGGCACTTTCCACTTGCTGACTTTTTTTAATAGAAGAAAGCTTAGTCTCCCAGTATGCACCTTGATGTGAGACTTTCAAGGGGAAAGTAAAACCTTGAGAAAACTCCCATTGTACTGTTTTCATAGATATTTATAATGGTGCTTTTTTCTTTCCTTTTGCTTTTATAGGGACCTTTACAATTTTGACAAGTGTCGAGATCTGGCTGTCAAGACATTTCTGGAGCATAGAGCCTCTATGCACCCGGTCACTTCAATGCTTGTGGGCAAAGACTTAAAACAGGATCAGTGACAAATTTACTGTTTTTTTTGTTGTTTTTTTTTTTTTAAATTTCTTGCTCCTGAAAGAAGAGACTGATAGCACAAGTTGCTGCTATGTGTGCTTGACTATGCCGTAAAATGCTCTGCTGCTTTGGTACTAATTTAGCTTAAAATTAATTTTCCAAATCAAGTTCAGTACTTTGTTTTACGCGTCCAAGTAAAACAGCAAAATTGCTAAATTTCTGGAATTGGGAGGATGGTTTTGTTACAAGCAATTTTTAGAACACATAAAAAAACTGTTCTGAGATAGATGCAGTTATTTGTCAGTCACAGAATTTAAAAACATGGAAAATCGGTGGATGGTATGGCTCTTTGTGCACAGCTTTCTTTTTCATAGTAACGTGGTTGAAACTCCAAGTATCTGAAGACTAAAAAAATAAATCTTTTCATTGTCTACTTGTCTGTGTATCGATCTGTACGCAAAGTTTTGAAATAATAGTTTTGTTTTATTTACTCTTCTTTGTTGTGAGAGAAATTTTATTATGGGTCCAAGAGGAATATGAAGACCTAAACGGATCACAGCATTCTAGTGTTAGAGCAGAATTGGCATCTAGCCCTATTTTTCATGGCTTTGTTATGCTACTCAGTTCTTCACGTTAATCACAATATGATGGTTTTACTTAGTTATTCCTGTTGAATCCTATGTTGTGCACTAATAGTTGTCTGAAATACTTCCTTGGGGTTTTTGTTGGGTTTCTTTTTTCGGTTTTTTTAGAAAACCTGGAATTTTTGCCACATTTTAGATCTAATATCTTGCTATGCTTTTAGTAAATTATTTAAATTATTTCAACCCACTATGTATTTTCAAAGCTTATAATTATTGTGCGGGGGGAACTAAAGCCAAAGTCTTTCTTTTCCCCCATTTGAATTTTTAATATTTCCATTTTTTAACCAATTCTGGTCACTGCCCCTTACACTAATATAACAACTTCGAAATAAAGTGAAAAATAAAAGCAATGGGAGGGCTGTGTTTCCTAGAATTGCTGCAGCACTTCAGCTCAAGTTGATGGTTTAGGTGAAACTGTTGTGAATACTGCCATCTACGGGTGGTTTTTTGAAGTGAGTTTGAGAAGAAGTGCTTTGCCTGGAAATGATCAGCATAAATTAAATCTGTTGACATAGACGTAAACCCATATGGAGGAGTAACAAAGAAAATAAAAAAGTGCTGTTTTAGTGGAGGAAGATTCCAAATACAGGTCATAGCAAAAGGTTTGGATTTAATAATAGCATGTAGAGTGGGAGTGGAGAGTCTGTCAATATATTTCTGATCTGAGTTTTGATCGTTGTAAGCTTTCAGGTGGACTAATTTACGTACTTTACTGGGATATTCATCTTTTCATGCTAGCAGCTCTAATATAAATTATGGCATGAACGCATCCTGTTGGATTTTACTGATTTGAGGCAGCCCAAGTTCTTCATTCAACTTTAACCTACATGTATCTAAGTAGTTTAAATAAAAATGATAGAAAAATTAACTCCTAGGTGACTGAGGCTCAAAAATCAGTTTAAGTGATTTCTATTAATTTTGTGCCACTCAGCTTTTAATAAGCACAATAAAATACTGGCTTTCTTGGAACTAAAATAGTGTCATGTCCTTGTGGCTAAAGAACTTACAGGCTTTCTTGTGTTAAGGACCTAACGAGCCATTTGTTCTCGTCTTGCTGCTCCTCTGAATGAGTGGTAACTTCTGCTGGAAAACTCACTGAAAAGAATTTTTCTATACTTCAGGTTAGAAACATGCAGTTCCTTTCATTTGCTCCCAATATCTCATTAGGCTTCTGCTACAGCATCACCAAAATGAACGAGAATTCTCTGGGGCAAGGCTCTGGTAGGAGGAGGGGGTATCTGATGTTAGCAGGTTCTGATTCAAGCTACCAGATTGCAGCGAAAACTCCCGTTCTTTGTTTTAGAAAGGTTTTATGTTACTAGTTTTGGGGTAAGGTTTTGTAAAAGCCCATATATCATACATAGTTGTTTGGTAGTTGGAGTTGGTGCTGCCAGATAATCCTGGTTTCTTGCTGTCAGAGCTGGGGCGGGTGGGGGAATAGTGGGAGGCATGGCTTTCACTGGCATTGTCCTGCTCTGCTGGGGCAGAGACTTCCACCCATGGGTCTCGAGGTAAAATTCCCTACAGTTCACCCCAGGTAAGTGGACTTCATAGCAGTCCCTTTGTGTGGGAACACTGTTGTGGGTAGCACAGACTACGAGTGTTGTTACTGTTTCATCTTTAAAGGTATTTTCAGCTTCTGTGTCGTCATGGTCACTGCTAAACTTTATTTTGGCACTGTCTTAACAGATATTTCTCCATGTCTTTCCCGCTTTGTATCTGCCTGCAAAAGAGGCCGTGGTAGAGCAGCACCGGGCTCAGTAGTGGTAGGTGGGGCCTAATACTTGTGCTACCGGTTCTAGCAACACCTTTCAGAGCGTAAGTGAAAGGGTGACGAAGGGAAACTCATTAATCTCCTCCCCTACAACACAAAATTATGTTCTCTAACTTCAGCTTGGACTGAGCAAAGCAGGCGTGCTTCCTACGCTGCCCGGTCTCCTCCTGCTCTGGGTAGAGATGCACGGGTGTAATCCAGTCTCCTTTCAGTGCTTGCAGCTGTGGCTGACCCATAATAATGGGGTGACTCTCTCCCAGCCCAGTCCCTTATAGGGGTTTTCATTAGTGCCACCTACAGCCAGGTGACGACTCCACTAACCTTTAAGTTAAACCTTTAAGTTCTTAGAACGGCTGCATTCCAACTTAGTCTGATTTACACAGAATCACAGAATGGTCAGGGTTGGAAGGGACCTCAGGAGATCATCTAGTCCAACCCCCCGTCCCGAGCAGGGTCTCCTACAGCAGGTTGCACAGGACAGCGTCCAGGCGGGTTTTGAATGTCTCCAGTGTGGGAGACTCCACAACCTCTCTGGGCAGTCTGTTCCAGTGCTCCACTACCCTCAAAGTAAAGAAGTTCCTCCTCATGTTAAGATGGAACTTCCTATGTTCAGGTTTGTGCCCATTACCTCTTGTTCTATCACTGGGCATCACCGAAAAAGACTGTTCTCATCCACCTGGCACCCTCCCTTTAAGTATTTGTAAGTATTGATAAGATGCCCCCTCAGTGTTCTTTTCTCCAGACTGAAAAGACTGAAGTCCCTCAGCCTTTCCTCATAAGAAAGATGCTCCAATTCCCCAATCATCTTAGTAGCCCTTTGCTGGACCCTCTCCAGCAGTTCCCCATCCTTCTTGAACTAGGGAGATTTATTGATCCGTTCTTGGTACACAAACTCCAGCTCTTGGATTTTAATTTCTATACTCCTGATGTGATCTTTGGGGGGGGAAAAAAAAAATAATCCTGTGGTAATAG